GAAAATACCAAATGAAAATTTGCTCTTCTTGCTCACACTTTTTAACCTATCGGGAGAACTCATCATTTAGGAGAGCTATATGGAGGCGGGAATTATCATTGAAATCTCGGAAAAACGGAACAAAGCATATTGGGGAAGAGTGAAAAAAAAAAAAAAGCCATGAAAATCAAGTGCAACAAACAGGTGAAAAGAATTGAAAAAGAGTACAAGAAAAAGAGAGGAAATTGAAAGTGAAATGATGATAGAAGGAGGAGTGTATTGGTTGATTCATCCTTTTCCATCCATTAATTATTGTTTTGTTTTTTTTAACTCTTATGACAAATGATATGGCTAATGGTGAAAAAGTCATTTGAAATTTACACGAACAGAGAGATATTTGTAACATTTATAGCTTTTCAGTTACGGTATTTGTAAGTCAAACAACTCATTTGCTTTTTCATTTGGAAGAGAATGAGTGAAAGAGAAAGACTGGAAGTATCATTGTTGGACCTCCAACGGCAGAATGCTTTTTTCAATCTTTCAAAATTTAAAACTTTTCAAAATGATACTACAATATGAAAATTAAAGGTGAAACTATGGATTAAACAAATGTTATTTGAGGAAGAAGAAGAAGAAAAGGTGAATCGATATTAGATGCCATAAAGGAAAACTATCTCAGTAAACAAATGTTATAATCAAAGTAGTACTTGTATTTGAAGTATTGCTCTCTCTCACATACACATACATGCACACACATACACACACACATACATACATACATACACATACATATACATACGTAAATGTACAAAGGTGAAGAAGGATTAGTATGAGAAAGATTAAAATTCATTCATTCGTTTAGAAGAGAAGAGGCATTCTCTAAATAATCTTTAAATTTAATAAATTGATAAAGGCTGATTAAAGTTTTCAAACTCAATCTTGATATTTGGTCGCAGTCTCGATTTTTGACCTCTGATCTCGAGAATAAGAGGTAGAAGAAAAAGTATGAAAAACATTACTGAAATTAAGGCATATAGGAAAAGTCCAAAATTATTGAAAACATTAAGGTATGCATACTATGCAATAATTAATTTTTTAAACGTTAACAATAATTATTAATTAATACAGAAATAAAATAAAACCTCAACATAATATTAGCTATTTGCAGAGATCAGAGAGGTAGAAAAAGAAGAAGAAGGAGAGAGATAGAGAGAGAGAGAGAAGGAGAGAGCTAATAAGAATGTTTGATAATGAATGGGTGGAAGGGGGTCGTTTCGAAATGATTCTAATTAAACTAATTAAAATTTCATCCAATTGAGAAAGAGCATTTGTGATAATGCTACCGGAAAAGGATAGCTTACTACTATTTTCTTTGTCATTTTTGTATTAAAATACACGAGAGAAGAATTTAGAATATGCTTTAGCTAGATGATAAGTTATCTTAAACTTCTCTTATCATCTCTTATCACAAGTTTTAGTGTCTAAAGATAATCATTTAGCATCCCATTATTACCCATAAAGTTACTTCTTTCAAAATGCTTACCTTGAAAAGTATATCACTATATGACAGAGACCAACTTTTTGGCATTTTAAGGATATTTCAGGGAAATGCATGGACAATTTTGAAGTGAAACTTTTTTTTTCTTTTAGTAATGCAATTTGTTTAAATATTCCCATAAAATGCATAGTTGGCAGCGATATTATTTGAAATATTCTGAACAAACAAAAAAAAAATTAATCTTTATTTTAAGTTTTACCGCATATTATACTGCTTGAAATTTCAATTTCAAAGCAAATTTAAAATGGGATTTTGTTTTCATTGAAATTTAAATTGGTATTTTTATTAACGAAGTATAAGCGATTATTTCAATTCTAAAAATAATACGAATCGAAGTTACGGTAGAAAGAAATGAAATTGGTTAGTATGTGGGAAATAGAAGAAAGTATAGTTTTCGGCTTGTTATAAATGATAGATATAAAATTAAATTAATTTTCTCCTATACATACCTGACGTGAAGTATTCTGATTGAATCGATGAAGCATTCGGAGACGATTCGCCGGTACAATACCACGTCTACCGTTTTTATTAATGCAACACCACCAACCTGTATTGATTCCTACTCCACCGTTCGTACCTAGAACAGTACATTTTAGGATTTAGAATATTTCTAAAGGCTAGCCAAGACAGTTTGATTTTGGCCAAATATTGGATGCCAAGAATCCATGGTATGAAGAATATTAAGTACACAATTACAACAAGCAGTTGATCATAATATTAAGATATAAATAACAAAATTCAAGCATTTTGAATAGTATTTACATGATTAATGAAGTGCATATGTAAATTAAACAACCGCATAACACATATACCATATACATATATATATATAAATATATATATATATATATATATATATAATGTTAGAAATTGATTGAATTGTTTCCAGTATTAGGTATTTGTTATATTAAATTAAATATTGATCATAATATTAAGATATAAATAACAAAATTTGTGATTATTTTAGGCGTAAATTACAGGAACAATATAGGCAGCAAAGGCTCTCATCACAATTATCAAAATTAATTTCCAATCTTTCGCTTTTTAAATTCAGGATTTAAACTAAGTTTCTTTTTTTTCCTTGTGAAAAAAGCTGAAATTTTCCGAATCCAATAAATGTCCCAAAAGTACAACTGAAAATTTATTCATCAATGAAAATGAAATTTTTAGAGTGGTTGTTACGGAGACTTATATGATGGCACTCATGCTTATCATTTGTTATGCCTTTACTGATAAAATACTTCTTGTTAAAGCTGTGATACTGATTCCTTTTTCAGTAACATTCCACTTAATTTGACGTTTCCTGATTATATTTCAAATTAGTCTAAGTAAGTGATGCTATCTCCGATTGGTATTCGATAAATAATTGCCACATTAGGTATCGAAAGTATTTAAGCCAATGGCTATGTCAATAGGTATGCAACAATTAGTTAATTGGTAGCTAAACGAAGTAAATGCTGAAAAAAATTCAAGCAAAAAGTTTGTTTAAATCAAATTAGATTCAGTTTACTTATTGATAGCATAACTACAGTGACACAAAAGTTGGAAATTTTGGCTTCCGGAAAAAAAAGATTAAACCGAAAAAAAGAGCAAATTTCAAATTTGAATGAGAAATTTTGGATATAATTTCCATTTTTTTTCAATGAAAAAAGATTTTTCAATTTCAATATTTCAATTTTCCAATTTTTTCAATAATTCTATTCTTTTCAATCACTTTTTTTCAATCCAACTTTAATGGATCAGCTTCATGGCATGCAAAAAAGGATTTTTTTTGGAATGAAACTAAAAACTTTGAAGTTGAATTTTTGAAAAAGAAGAAGTTTTTAATTTTCACATTTTCATTGTTCAACTTCTTCAACTTATAAATATACAGTTTATTCATATATGAAATAATTAAATACTTTTTAGATTTCATTTTCAGTTTTTACTATCGTTAAAAAAAAGACGCTCAAAGTGATATATTTCCCTCAAAATGCATTTTTAATGCAAATGGACGGCAAAACTAAAGAAGTTATCAACAGGTAAAACTATTTGGTCAAATGTATAGTTGCGTCCCAATTAAAACTTGGCCACAAGTAGCATTTTTCAATAGAATAGAATTCGAGGTAATGGGCTTTTTTTGCCTGAATAATTTATTTTCTCATTAGAAACATATAATGTTTCTACTTTCCTTTTTGAGTTCAATAGTAAAGTTAAATTTTACTCAGAATTAATCCTAATGAATAGATACTTTAAGTAATAATAAATCTTTTTTTCAAAAAAATCATGAAAAAAAAATGTTTTCCTATTTCTCCTTGCTATTTAAATCTTTAATGGAGAACTAAAAGTTTTATTTTCTTCTTCGAATCCTTTCAGATTAGTTATTGTCTTCGGAAATTACAACATAAGCGTTCTTTGACGCTAAGAAAAACTATTCTTTAAATCTTTTTGTTTCAAAATTTATCCTCACTTTTATTTAACTTTGTCTAACTTTGAATTTATCCTCACTTTTATTTAACTTTATTTAACTTTGAATTTACCCTCACATTTATTTAATTTTGGGTCTTTTTCTTTCCGTGTAATAATTTCAATTAACTGATAATAATAATTCCATATTATCAATAATAAATATTTTTTAATTATGTACATAAAGTAGGAAAGAAATAATTGCAAATCTTTTAGTTTTAGCTTTACTTTTTTAAATTTTTTTAGGACAAAAATTGAACAGTTTGTTTTTGCAAATCTTATATCACTAAATAAAAATCAATACTGATAAGTTATACTTAATTATATGTTTGTTTATTGCTTACCTACTACTTCAACTATTAGTTATTTATTAATTACTTATCCACTTAATTCAATTACATTTGCCACTTAACTGTTTAAATGAAACAGTTTTGCTATTCTAATTTACTATAAATAGTTACAATTTGCAATTCATTCCGAGAAATATGTCTTTTTTGCTTCAGCAAGTGGACAAGTGTGAATTTTTTGTCAATATGATATTGAAATTTAACAGTTGAAAGATTGCAAGAATTGTTAGTAAAAATGAAAAAGGCGGAAAAAGCGCTGTGAATTATAAGTAATCACACCAAATTTATGAGTGGAACTCTCTTTTGAATGATTCAATTTTTACAATAAAAAAGAAAAAGTTAATAAAATAAAATATAATAAAAAGCAGTTTTCAGTACCTATTCCTCGTTTTTCAACTTTAATTAAACATTTTAAAATGTGGAAAAGAAAAGGAAGTAATTTCAGAAATAACTTTTATCAAACCAATAGCATAAATGTTTACTGCTCTTTACATCCACCTAAATTATTCTTTGATAGGGTTTTTTAATCTCAAAAATACAAATTAATCTTAAACATGTATTGCTATGCCTCAAGACATCTCAGTTTTCAAACGGAAATTCTCGCATACGAATTAAGAAAATATTACGGAACAAGAAACTGATGCCAATTTCATTATGCTTTACTAATTTATTGCCATTACAAAAGGTCATCATGAGGTCACGTATCAATTTTCCTCCTAATTATTATGCATAGAATATTCCGTTGATATTTTTCGATTAATTCAATTTCTTTTGGTGCGTTATATTGTACAATGTCAAAACGAACTTTTGACAGGAAATATGAAGCCTCTTAAAAGTTTGCTTTGGGAAAAGAAAAACTTTGAATCTTGTTGTATATAAAACACAGAGAGAAATACTTGTAAGTCGAATCCGCGAAGTATTTATGTACATTTATCGATCAAACGGTAAAATATATTGAGGGAAATAATACTAAATCAAGAATTTACATCCACGATTGTCGAGAATTCTCCGAGTCTTTTGCTTAAATCACTCAAAATTTTTAATACCGGAACTTCCTGAAATTTTCTCTCCCCCTAATTCCGTTTCAATTTTGAATCATATTGTATAAAAAAAAAAGTAAGCTTTGGGAAATATTTAAGCTTTTCACATTTTATTAATTATATTTGTAAATACCACCAATTTCAAAGCTAAAGTAATACATCACTAATAACACTCTAATTTATTTTTAAATTAGAAATGAAATTTGTAGAAATATTAAATGTAGCATTTTATTCCCGACTCATTGGTTTTTCCGAGACATTGATCTAATGATGGTTTAAAGAGTAATGGGCAATTTTTTCAGTGCATATCACTATTTAGCACCAATTTAAATAAAACTGACAAAATTTCAATCAAAATGCTTTTGAGAATTGCTCATGAATTTCATTTATTTACCAGATAAATTCTAAAAATTGCAAGAAATTCTGGCTACTTTATAACAGTAAAATCAGCAAGACTATTAAAATGACGACAATGACCTTTGATGCAAGTAATTAAACCAACCAAACTGTTTGATAATAATTAGTAATAATAATTAATAATTAATGATGACAATAATAATAATGACAATAATAATAATAACAATAATAATAATAATAATAATAATAATAATAATA